AAGAAGAAAGGACACGCAAATAACAAAAATCAGAAATGAAAAAGGAGATACTACAACCAATACCATGGAAATACAGAGAATCATTAGAGACTATTATGAGCAACTATATGCCATAAATTTGAAAATATGAAGGAAATGGATAAATTTCAGGACACATACAAACTGCCAAGACTGAACCAAGAATAAATAGAAAACATGAACAGACCAATAATAAGCAATGAGATTGAAGCAGTATTCAGCAGTCTCCAAACAAAGAGGCCAGGACTGGATGGCTTCACTGCTGAATTCTACCAAATCTTTAAAGAACAATTAATACCAATCCTTTTTAAACTATTCAAGAAAATTAAAAGACAGGCCATTCATCCAAACTTATTCCCCCAAATAAGGCCAGCATCACTCTAATACCAAAACCAGACAAAGATAAAGCAACTACAACATAACAAAAAAACTAAAGGTCAAAATTCTTTATGAACATAGATGCAAAAATCCTCAACAAAATACTAGCAAAGAGAATAAAACAACTTACCAACAATATTATACACCACGATCAAGTGGGATTCATCCCTGTGATGCAAGGATAGTTCAACATATCCAAGTCAATAAATGTGATACACCCCATCAACAAAATCCAGTACAAAAACCATATGATTGCCTCAATAGATTCAGAAAAAGCATTTGACAAAATTCAACATCCCTTCACAATAAAGACTCTCAACAAAATAGGTATAGAAGGAAAGTATCTCAATATAATAAAAGCCATTTATGACAAACCTTCCACCAACATCATCTCAAATGGAGAGTAGTTGAAAGATTTTCCATTAAGAATAGGAAAAAAACAAGGATGCCCACTCTTATCACTCCTCTTTAACATAGTATTGGAAATACTAGCCAGAGCAATCAGGCAAGAGAAAGAAATAAAGGGCATCCAAACTGGAAAAGATGAAGTCAAACTGTCCCTGTTTGCAGATGACATGGTCCTATACACAGAAAAATGTATAAATTCTACCAAAAACGTTCTAGAGATGATAAATTAACTCAATAAAGATGCAGGGTACAAAATCAACACACAAAAATTAGTAGCATTTTTATACTCCAATAACGAACTAGCAGGAATAGAAATAAAGAAAGCAAGCCCATTTATAATGGCAACCAAAATAATAAAATACCTAGGAATAAATTTAATCAAGGAGGTTAAAGATCTCCACAATGTGAACTACAAAACACTGCTGAAAGAAAATAAAGAGGACACCAGAAGATGGAAAGACATCCCATGCTCTTGGGTTAGAAGAATTAACATTGTGAAAATGTCCATGCTACCCAAAGCTATCTATAGATTCAATGCAATCCTCATCAAGATACCAATGACATTATTCGCAGAAATAGTAAAGACTATCCTAACATTCATATGGAACAACAGGAAACCTCAAACAGCCAAAGTAATACTGAGGTAAATAGATGATAGATAGATAGATAGATAGATAGATAGATAGATAGATAGATAGATAGATAGATAGATGGATAGAGATAGATGGATAGAAAGAAAGATAGGTAGATAGATAGATAAATAAATAAATAAATAAATAAAACAGGAGGCATTATATGACCTGACTTCAAATTATACTACAAAGGTGTACTAACCAAAACATCATGGTACTGGTATAAAAACAGACACATGGTGCAATGGAATAGAGTAGAGAACCAAGAAATCAACCTACATAGCTACAGCTGGCTGATTTTTGACAAAGGTTCCAAGAACCTACATTGGGAAAAAGACAACCTCTTCAACATATGGTGCTGAGAAAATGGGATATCCACGTGTAGAAGAATGAAACTAGACCTGTACCACTCTCCATATAACAAAATCAACTTAAAATGGATTAAAGACTTAAATATAAGATCAGAAACTATAAAACTACTAAAAGAAAACACAGAGGAAACAGTTCAGGATGTAGGAGTGGGCAAAATAACTTTATGAATAAGACCTCAAAAACATGAACAACAAAACAGAAAATAAACAAATGGGATTATTTGAAACTAAAAAGCTTATGCTCAGCAAAGGAAACAATCAACAGAGTAAAAAGACAACCTACATAATGGGAGAAAATATTTGCACACTATACATCCAACAGGGGATTAATATTCATAATACACAAGGAACTCAAACAACTTAACAGTAAAAAGCCAAATAACCCAATTAAAAGTTTGGCAAAGGAGCTGAATAGACATTTCTCAAAAGAAGGCATATAAATGGCCAACAAGTATATGAAAAAATTCTCAATATCACTAAACATCAGGAAAATGCAAATCAAAACCACATTTACATGTCATTGTGCACCAGTCAGACTGGCTATTATCAAAAAGACAAGGAATAACAAATGCTGGCGAGGAGGTGGAGAAAGGGGACCCCTCCTGCACTGTTTGTCGGACTGTAAAGCCATTAGGAAAAACAGTATGGAGATTTCTCAAACAGTTATAGACAGAACTACCATACAGTACAGCAATCCCACTACTGGGTTTATACCCAAAGGAACGGATATCATCACATTAAGGAATACCCGCACACTCATGTTTATCACAGTTCTATTTACAATAGCCCGGATATGGAGTCAACATAAATGTTTGAATAAAAATAATGTGTTGAACTTTCAGAAGGAGAGAACAGAGCTGTGGTCACTTGAGGTGGCAAAGGGAGAGGTAGAGAAAGGCTAGCAAGAACTGGTTAATGGACACAAGGAATGATTAGAATGTGCTAATTATCCTGATTTGATCATCACACATTGTACACAAGTATTGATACTCAACTCTGTACCCCACAAATACGTTTAATCAATTATCTTTCAGTAAGAAAAAGAAAAGGAGAGATGGAAGCCTGGAGAAAAGAACCAATATGAGCAACAGATAAACCGGGAAAAAACTACATTCCCTATCTACAAGTCCTGGAGGCCTGGATTTCAGGCCCACGTGTCAGGCTCAACTCTAGCCCAATGGAAAGTAAATCAATACTAGGAGCTCCACGTTAGAGGAGCCATGCAGTAACTGCACAGTGTCCATCCACTTCTAAGGCCACCCCAGGGACATAAAAAATAAGGCTGAGTTGTTAATGGCACTAGGAATTCCACCTCACACAACTTGCAATCTGAATATACTAAGTGTCATGGTAGTGCCTTAATCAAGAACATGTATTCTGGAGCAGGTTTATCTAGTTTCAAAACAAAACTCTGCCACATACTAGCCATGGGACTTGGGTAAGTTACATATAAGCATCTATCTATTTCATATGGTTGCTGTTAAATATTGAAATATTAGCTAAAAATGATTGTTTTCTGTTATTTTATAATAATCCCTTCTGGTCACCTTGTGACAAGCACCACACTTAGAATAAATATTGAAATATTAGCTAAAAATGATTGTTTTCTGTTATTTTATAATAATCCCTTCTGGTCACCTTGTGACAAGCACCACAGAATGGATATACCTGTTCTACATTTTAAATATTCCCAAAACTTATAGAAGAGAAATTTACCAGAAAGGGAGCTAACTCCTTTAGGAACAGGTGGAAGTGTTCTGACATATTAGAAACCTTTGAACAAACAAGTAGCAATACTGTCTGCAATATCAGTTCCAGTTTTATCAAAAAAAATCAAGCCAGTTCCTGAACGGTAACTGTTAAAATACCTTTTCTCAGTGGAGCAGTTCAGAAGAACAAGGCTGTAAGACAGCTGAGTATCAGAGGCAATTTCAGGACAGGAAGCACCAGGCCTTACTATATTAACAAGTACATTTTCACAGGCACATTTTCCCTGGACAACCAAGGGGCCAGCTTCGAGTTTTGCCAAGCATCCAACTCTTTAATCAAAAACTAACAAGGGAGAGCTGCCAGAGATGAACGCTTATTAAAGACTGAGCCAATAATTAGTCCTGGATTCCAATAGCTGTTTAACTGCCATGAGCACGTCTCCAGTGGGATGGTCAGTTATCTCTGCTTTACTAAGATCGGAGATGGGTAAAGGCGGCCAAGGTCCCTGCAATGATGTGGATAGATTCTGTTCTAGTTTCACTTAGTTACAGAGCATACAGAAGAAACACAGGCTGAAGTATTACCACAACAGCACAGAGAATGAATTTTCACAGACCAGTGAAGTCAACGACTATTAGTTTTGTCTCCTCTGGGTCCTGTGATGTTCCAACTCCAGCACAACGTAACTGAAAATGCACCACATAAGCTGCTTATTTTTGCTCCTAGTCCAGAATACAGAAATCCAAGGAGCTCCCCAGACTCTCTACAAGATGGTGCAGAAAAGGTGAAAATGTGCCTTCAGTAACTGGAATTCCTGGGGCTCTGTATCTGCAATGCCCTCTGAGGTGTCAGTCAAGGCTGTCTGCTCTGCTTCACTGACCACTGCGTGCAACAGGAGAAATGGCAGCTGCCTCTTGCTCCCTCTGTTCCACCTGCCTCTCCCTCCTCTCCCAGACATTGAGGGGTGCGGGTCCTGCCATTTCTGCCACTTCTTCATTCCCCTGAGGACACCCAGAAAGAACCCCCAGGCAGAGAACTGTCAAGCCCACTCATCAGGAAGTCATTTATTCCAATAACCCCCCAAATTCCACATATACTCTGTTCCCACTCCTCTGTAAGCCCTAGGGATATGGAGTTTATAATATTTGTTCCTTAATACAAATAAGTAGTCTAGTTAATGTAAAAGGTATTTAGAGGGAGAAAAAAGCAATGGATACAAAGTTACAAATTACGTTATTTATGCTTTAACTCCTACCACATGCTATCCTTACACAGATACATTTTAAATATATAAAATAAATACAATGAACATATTTTCAACTTTTCTTCAGTATGATCATATTGCCAAACATCTTTCAGGTAAGTTTATCTGATGCTATGGTTCTTTTTGGTCATAGGGTGACAGACTTGCATTGGTGCTGGAAGTGTTCACCAAGCATTCCTCAGCAGGTCCCTTTCTCTGCAAAACCCCAGGGACACTTACCTCAGGGATGCACTGCTTTGGAATCCCACGTAGGCTGCAGTAATAATGGAGATGTTCCCACCCAGTCAGAAGGTCATCCAGGGCGTCCTGCTGTGGACAGTAGCCAATGAGAACACCTGCCATGCCAGCAGAAGATAGATCCACGTCATCTCTGCGTAGAGAAGTAGTACAGGCTGAGAACAGCAGGCTTCCCAAACGAGCATCAACCCAGTTCTTAAATGTGACTCATCAATAAGAAGCCCACTTCTGTCTGTTTAACACAATTAATTTATTTCACATAAAAAATTCAATTAATGAGAACTGAAAGGGACCAGAATATGCCACCCCAAAATATGCCTTTTTAGCATACAGATTATTATGAGCTAAATGCAACTGAGAAACAGCAGATGCAGGAAAATGTAAATGATGGTGTGCTTTTAATTTCAAATTTCAATTATTCATTGCAGATATATAGGAAAATAGTTGACAGCATACTTTGGATAATTCCTATTCTTTTAAATGTGTTATGATTTATGGTTCAAAATGTGGTCTATCTTGGTGAATGTTCCATGTGAGTTTGAGAACAATGCGATTTCTGTTGTCATTGGATAAAGAATCCCATAAAGGTTAATTATATTCAGTTGCCTTTGTCAGTTTGAGCTACTATAACAAAATACCATAGACTGGCTGGCTTAAACAATAAAACGTTTGTTCCTCACAATTCTGGAGGCTGGGAAGTCCAAGATCAAGGCACTGGCAGATTAGGTGTCTACTAAGGGCCTTCTTTCTGCTTTGCAGATGGCGACCTTCTTGCTGTATCCTCACATGCTTGAGAGAGAGATGGCTATGGTCTCTCTTCCTCTTCTCGTAAGAACACTAATCCCATCATGGGGGCCCCATACTCAAGATTTCATCTAAACCCAGTCACCTCCCAAAGGTCCTGTCTCCAAATAGCATCACATTGGGGGTTAAGGCTTCAGCGCATGAAGTTGGGAAAGGGGGAAAAACTATTCAATCCGTAGCACCACCTGATTGATGGTTCTGTTAAATTCAAATATGTCCTCACAGATTTTTTGCCTGCTGGACCTGCCCATTTCTGATAGAGGGTTGTTAAAGTCTTCAGCTACAACAGTGGATTCATCTATTTCTTCTTTCACTTCTGTAAGTTCTGCCTCATGTATTTTGATGTTCTGTTGTTAGGCACATACATGTTGGGGATCGTTATGTCTTTTTGAAGAACTAACTCCTGTATCATTATTCAATGCGCCACTTTATCACTGATAATTTTCTTTGTTCTGAAGCCTGTTCTGTCTGAAATTAATATACCTATTCCTAATTCCTTCCTCCCATTACTGACAACATTGTTGATATTCCTTTCATTTAGCCATCAGATATAATCACTGAGTACACTCTTGACATTATTATTTTGAACAAACTGTTACCTGTTAGATTCACTAACAATAACAAATATAAACAACTTTATTTTACCTTCACTTATTGTCTCCAACATTCTTCCTTTC